CTTTAGAATTGAATTGTCATTCTGGTAAAACCTAAACAGAAAGCTGGAGCAGAACCTTGTTTGCTTAGTTTAGCTCAGCATATTACCTAGCATTGCCCAATGAATCATAAATAACATACTCTGCCTATGTGCTTCTGGGAAAGGTTTCTTGACTCTACTTCCGAGTGTTTTCACTGCTGTTTTGGTAATTGGTGAACTTGACCTAGTGTATTTTCTTCCCCTTTCTTCAGCTTGGACTAGTCTAAAAATGTGATAAGGACTTAAACAAAACTTTAATATCCACCCTTTTTACATAATTTGGGAAATCTTTGATCTTCTAACACACCCGACGCATGCTGTTCAGATAAAATGTGAAGCACTGTAATCTGAAGAAGGATATAAGTAGGTATCTTTTACATCACTCACCTTTAACAGGAAGCGTTTCTAACTTCTTTATGAATGTTTCCACAAAGTCTTGAATTATGCTGATGTCCCATTAATTATTTTTATGCCTTTACTTCAGACTGGCAACCTGTCCACTGCAGCTGCAGCAGGAGCGATTATTTCCAAACGGTTTTTAAAGTTTTATTTAGAGATTTTCAAACTCTTAAAGTGAACTTTGTTTTCATGCATTGTTTTAACCGAAAGCTATTATTGTTAAAAGCAACATTGCTCACTGTGTTGCTTTAGCTGTGCTTGTGTTTATAAGTACCTGAGCAGAAATAAGTCAAATGTCAGCTGCTGATGAAGTCCATGTTTCAAACTGTTCATATAAAGGGCACACAAAAGCCAGAGAATGTACAATAAAGTCATAATTGTGATTTTTTTTTTTTTAATGGTCTCATATTTTATCCTCTGCTTTCATTATTATTATTAATGTAAACAATTTGAAAGCAGACCATTTAGCTATTCAACAAAAACAATTTGGTTTCATGTCTTTGTTTAATTTGCAAAGTAAAGAAGCTGAAAGAATATCTTCTACGTTGTGACTCCATTATTTTGGCCAGTGGTTGAACAACATGAACCAGACTTACCAATAAAATGCTGCTCACGCATGAATCTGAGTAAATGGCTTGTGGTGCCCTGAATATTTTAATATAAGTTTAGATTTTTTAAATAAAAGTTCTCTTCTTTGAAGAGAAGGCTGCCCAATTGTTTAGTTTACATATTGTAAATTGCTAAATTGTTTAAGTTTAATAATTTAATAATTCATTAACTTGATAACTTAACTTAATAAAAAGTTTATTAATATTAAGTTTAACAATAAAATAAATTTCTGAGTTTTCACTGAAGGAGTTTTACTGTGACTGTAATCCCCCCTATTTCTTTCTGAATTTTGTTGCAAAGGCAATGTTGTGTCACTGATGCAAAACCCATTTTCTCTTACCTGATGTCATCGTAGAGCGATATTCTTTTTCACCAGAAGATGGCAGTAATAGTTGGCTGAATGAGTGAACTTGTACAGTAATAAGGGCAGATGTAAAGTAATGGAGGCCTGTTGTTGTAACAGCAAGGGAAACTCTTTGTAAGTTATTATACAGTTACTAAGAGCTCCTAAACAGATACAACACCAGAGATGTGAGATAACAAAGGCCATGAAGCCAATTGTACTTGTTATAGCTGGTCTGACTTTATTAAATATACTTTGAAAAAAATTAATTAAATAATAATGAAAGCAGAGGGTAAAATATGAAGACTGAAAAAATATTGCTGTTAATGCATCACTTACATGAACATTAATATGTAGCATCATATCTAAAACAGCAACCTCTGGTGACCAAACTGATGTTCATCCACAACCCCAGAGACCATGATGGAGGAGTCTAAAGTGGTGTGGATCCAGGTCGTAGCAACAATAGCAGGTCTGACCTCTGACACATTGTGCTGCTAAACTCTGCACTGTGCTGCACAAATGTGCAAAGGAAGAGATAAGCTGACCCCTGCCTTTTCAACTGAGTTGATTTAATCCCCCAAAACTGTTTAATTAAAAAATAAATTAAGTAAAATTACTTCATACTGTATGACTTAGCCTTTATCGGCATCCCTTTCCTCCTGTTTGAAGGTGCAACACCAAAATAAATGGGAGTAAGTCTCTGGGAAGATCTCTCAAAAAGAGCAAAATATATCTGATTTATTCACAAATTTTTAAAGTTTGAAGTCTGTTTGTTTGTTTATTATGAAGGTAAAAACTTTGAATTAATTTAAATAAAGCCTAATTGACAGAAGTTTTTTGTAGCAAAGAATCAAATCCATCAATAATGAAATTGATAGATGACACAGATCAGCGCCTCTTCAAAGTGTTACCTAATTTTGGCATTCATATTTCCATGGGAGGAGAAATGGGACCTAATAAAGATTCGTCAGGAGGAGACATAGACAAGGGTGATGAAGGGATGAGAAAGGATGCCATCAGAATCATTGAAGATCTCTTTTAGGTTTAATGGGA